CACTCGGTCGGTAAGAAAATTTTTAGATATCTCTTATATAATTTAGATTTCTTAATCATTATTACTGGCTGTTTCATCCAAAGTTATGTTTCTGTATGCTTTTGAGATTTATTTTGAAGTTTCTAAGATAATTAAGGAGATCTGTTACCTTCGCAGTATTCATGGACACCGTTTTCGAAAACAGACATGAACACGGCAGGCAAACTTATCAGGGACTGATGATTTAGAAAATTCTTGAAAGATTTTCACTAATGATTGCAAAACGTTTATTTTCGTGCCGTAAAAGAGAAGCTGCATCTCACAACAACAACAACAACAACAAACTTTCTTTATTAATTCACAAATTATAATTTCATGTTAGCTTCCACTCACTTCTATAATAGAAGAGCCTAATCGAGGCAGGGGAAGAGACACACAAGTTTATAGAGAGGAAAAGACGAAAAATATTTTAAAAACAGTACCAGCTATCGCCAAATGAAATTATGGTATCAGTTAAAAATTTTATTAAGATACAGAAATGGCAATGTGAATTACACAGAAAATAAAAGTCAAGTCGTGTTTCAGAGCTTTTTATTTAATTGGTGCATAAAATAATTGGAGATCTTAGTTTGACGGTACAGTATTGAACCTTTTACCCTTACCATTCCACTGGATACTGTTTTCGAAAAACGGACAGGCAAGATATTGTAATCTTGGACAAACTGTCGTAGTAAAATCGTTGTCACTGACTGGAGATTTAGAGAATTCTTGAAAGATTTTCAATAATGTTTGCAATTTTTTTGGGGGGGGGGAAGTGAGGCATAAAAGAGAACTTACATCTCACATTTTCCTCAAGTAAAAGTGTTAAAGAGTTAAAGTGTAAGGAAGTAATTATTACAACACATCACTTGATTTAAGTGCTTTTCACACATGCTGATTGGCTGGCTTGTATCTGATTAAAATACTACTTAGCTTTGTGATGAGACGCCAAGTGCCTTCCTGTTTTCAGTGCTGTGATGACAGGGTACCTGTCAATAAATTTCAATTTATGAAGAAGAGGAAAAAGAGAAAATTAATTACCAATTAAGTAGCAACTAAGTTTGGTTTGATTGCATCATTGACACTTGAACAAGTGAATGAACCTTTTATGGCAGAATATCAAAGCTTCTGCATACTGTGATGACCAATGTAGTCGAAAACTAAAATGAAAAATGTTATGATTATAAGCAATGATCTTTAAAACAAAGAAAAATAAATATATCAAATAGGAAGCACCAGATGGGCAGGTTAAAAAAATGCATTAAGAAGTTCTCTTCCTGAGGAAAGCAATATGGAAATTCTTATTAATTGTTTTACTGTAGATTTTTTGTACTAGTAAGAGATCTTATNGTACTCCCTCAAATATGGTACATATAAGAGTTAAAGCGAAGATGTGATTTACAACATGTCAAATAAGTAGTGCCATTTACCCTTGCTGATTGGGTAGCTGGGAGGAGATTAAAACAGTGTTTATCAGGTACCTCTGTAATGAGAAACACAGTGCCTTCTTGTTTTGATGCGGTGAGGAGGTACATGTTATTAAATTTTAATTGATGAGGAAGAGGAAGAATAAGAGAAAAGCTCACCAATGCAGTCACAACTCAGTTTGGTTTGATTGCATCTGACAGGCACTTGAACATTAAGTGAAAGAATGTTACCTGTTTAATTCACTGCATTTCTTCAACCTTTTGTGGCACAATATTGAAGCTTCCACATACTGTGATGAACAATGTAATGAAAAAACCACTAAATGAAACATGTTATGATTATAATTGATAACCCTTAAAAATTGAGAAAAAAGTTAAATAGATAGTGTTAGGTGGGCAGGTAACAAAAGGGATGAAGAAGTTCTCTCCCTGAGGAAAGCAATTTGAAAATTCTTATAAATTGTTTTACTGTACATTAATTTATTGAACTAGTGAGAGATTTCATACTAATAAACAATAAGAGATATATAGATTGTGATTGATGAGGAAAAAGAGGATCAAGGAAAAGCAAATTAAGCAAACTGACTTCTAACTTTGTTTTGATTGCATTTATTAATTTTATCAAAAAGTGGTAAGTTATTTAATTACGCAGTATTACCATATATTGCATTTGTTCAACCTTTTATGACAAAATATCAAAGTTTTTGAATACTGTAGAGCAATCTTATGGAAAACTATGAAACATGGCATGTTTTGAAGCAATCTTTAACACTTAGATAAAATTTCAGTAAAAGAAAAGCTGTTAGTATCTTATACTAGCTGGGAGGAGATTAAAACAGTTTTTACCAGGTACCTCTGTAATGAGAAGCTCAGTGCCTTCCTGTTTTGTTGCTGTAAAGAGATACATGTCAATAAGTTTTTGATGAGGAGGAAGAGGAATAAGAGAAAAGCTTGTTTCTCTTGTAAAAATAAGTAACATCTATTGGTTTGGTTTGATTACAGGGGAAATTATGAAGGCCGATTTTACCTGCTTTTCACTGCATTTCTCAAACCTTTTACGGCAGAATATCAAAGCTTCTGAATACTACAACGAGCAATGTAGTGAAAAACTATTAAACTTGAACTCTGATTTTAAGAAGTGATCTTTAAAACTGAGAAAAAACATTAAATAGTAAGTAGCAGGTGGGTAGGTAAAAGGATCACCAAGAAGTTTTTTCCTGCAGAAAGCAATATGGAAATTCTTTTAAATTGTTAAACTGTACATTTTTTGTTCTAGTAAGGGATCTCATACCAGTAAAAGAATAAGAGGTCAATAAATTTTGATTAATGAAGAAGATGAGGAACAAGGGAAAAGCACATGCAGCAAAATGACAACTAAGTTTGGTTTGATTGCACTTCAGATCATTACAGTTTTTCATTGCATGCTTAAATAACACAATTTTATCACACCTTGCATTTTTCTAACTTTTTATAGCAAATTTCTGTTTCTGAGTGCTGTTGAGCAATCTAATGGAAAACTATGGAACAATTCTCATGAGTTTAAGCTATCTTTAAAACTGATGAAAAATATCAAATAGGAAGTACCAGGAGGGCACTTTTGAAAAAGAGCATTAAGAAGTTCTTTTCATGATGAAAGCAGTATGGAAAATATATTAATATTATTATTATTATTATTATTAATAAAGCGAGATCTTTTTGCAATATGATACATCCTTTATTAACCAAGCCTCGTTCTTTCTTCGCATTGTTATGGACCTCGACTTCGTCTTCGAAGTTTGGAATGATGGGTCTTGCTGCCTTATCATCTGGTCTTTCCGTTCTGGTCCATGGAGAATCAGGATTTGGTGAGGCCTTGAAAGCTGTCAAGTTTGGTGATACGGCCACTGTGGATTCTGAAGATGCTACTGAGTGGGCCCAGAAGATCAAAAAGCTAAGGAAGATAAGCAGACAACTACGGCGTGAACAGGCTTCAGAGCTACGTTCATTCTACAATGAGAAGTACAGCTGGGGGAAACAGCTGGGAGCTCTGGTGAAGGAGATGCTCAGCATGATGTCTGGTATGTGTGTAAATTACAAAATTAAAAAAAGTATGATTGTCTGACACAATATCAGTTATAACATGCCCTTTTTTTCAAATACATTGTTCTATGCAAAAAATTAATAAACTTTGATTGCACTATGTGGGTCATTATGGCGGTAATTCAAGGGAATTTTCCATTGTACTTGTTGATCTTTAATTGGTTATTTTAATTTCAAGTAATAATAAAAGTTATTGATTCTGGGTGTGTCTTTTTTTTTAATTTCTCTGCAGCTCAATGAGACTGATGTATTCCCTGTTGCAGGCCATCTGCATCAGATTTGAGGACTCTGCTAAGAGTACTATTGGAAACTCTGACCATTAATATACCTAAGCTTGTTTGGTGAAAACCAGTGTCAACATCACAGCTCAGATGGGTGTACAAAGGGACATTTGCCTCATTTTATTTTTACTTGCCCTTTCTAATAATAGATAAACCTTGGAAGCAGGCTCCTTATTTTTTCTTTAGAAATGACTGGGGTTTGCCTTCTTGCTTTTCTAAAATGATATTTACTAGTGTCCATTGTCAGCGCCCAGAGAGACCGGTGTACGAAGGACACTTGTACCCAAGTTAAATTCTATGAAGGCTTCAAAAAAACCCAGAAGGCTCTGGTTTTTTTTTTTTAAGAAGTATTTTTCCTCTTGCCTTTCTGTAATGAATTAACCAGCCAGAGAGGTGTACAAAGGACACTTTGATTCAACTGAATTGGTTTGATGTAATTTACCAAAAACAAGCCGAGGAGCAGGCTCTTATTTTTTCCTAAGAATTAGTGGGCTTTGCCCTTTCTCTTTTCTTCAATGAATTATCAGCCATTGTCAACACCCAGAGAGGTGTACAAAGGGACCTTTTACTCAACTTTAGAAAGGTTTACTGGTATGTTCTTTACTTAAAACAAGCCTAGAAGCAGGCTTTTATTTTTTTCCTAGCATGAGTAGGCGTTGCCTCCTTGCTTTTTTCCAGTGAGTTATTAACCAGTGTCCATTGTCAACACTCAGAGAGGTGTACAAAGGGCATTACTTATACTCGAGTTTATAAAGGTGTACATAGTTAAACCAAGCCCAGAAGCATGCTATTACAAGTACAGTATATTCACATCAGAACAAGTAGACAGCTTCAATTATATTGTTAAATTTTTTATTTATCTCTTGTGAAAGTGGGCTGTAGTATTCCTTGTGGAGTAGTATATGTAAGTAGTCCCTGTACAGCAACAGTACGACATCAACAGGCCTCAGCTCTTAAAAATATTGGAGAACTCCAATTCTGGCCTTGTCAATCATGGTAACCAGAGTTAACACACACAGAGGTGTACAAAGGACACATTTACCAAACTTAAACAAAATTAATGTACTTGCTCTTATCATCTTAAAATAACCCTGGACGGAGGCTATCACATTTATTTTAATCAGTATAATTACGTTTCCCTCTCTTGATCATCATGACTTGTTGCTTGTACATGTATGGCTCAAAGGCAGGCTAAATCAATGTCTGATACTTAATGTACTTAGTTTTGGTAAGAAATAGTTACTTGCCCACAGTTTTTTTCAGAGTTTCACAAGAAGAGATGTGTTGTCCTCTCAGCACTTGAGATGTGCTGGCACCTTCTGTAACCTTAACACTGAGTGGGGGCCACTGTGACATACTTATGTTGTTGTATGCTCATGGTGTTTCATGGTCAACTTGAGAATAAAACTGAGAGGTTGTCTGTAATTTTGGTTGCCCTGAGCTATGTTTCCAATAACCTATTTTCAAGATAACGATCAGGGGGTTTGACAGGAAATGCAAAAATTTCCATCAAATCTAATAAATTATTGACATTATGAATCAGTAACAAACAGAATACAATCATGGAATGAGACGAAAGATAATGCAACTGTTCCAATTTTAATGTATTCTTTAATAATTTTCTCAGAGTTTGTGGTTGAAAACACATTCTTTATTTTACCACCACTGAAATCAGTTAGCTTCCCTTCATAAGATCTCCTTTGTGACATTTCCCAAAAACATTGTATATTATTTAGGAGATAATCATGTGATAAAGGTTGGTCAGTTGAAAGTAATCATCAACAAAACAATAGTAACTACAGGGGGTAATGCTACAGAAGTTTTATCCGTAAACCTTGTCACTCCCAAGATCTGATTAGTAATTCTCCTTACTGTCTGTCTTGAGTTTGGGAAATTTGGTAGTGGATCAACTAATGATCCCTTCTAGATATTCTTCTAGATATTCTTCGATATTCTCATCACTTGTCAGCTTGATATTGTATTCATTTGATATTGTAAGGAGAAATTCTCTCTTGGTCACTCATGGGAATCTAGGGATTATCTAATGCATAGGTGCGCAAAACACTTAGGTGTCAACGAGTTAACATAATCAAGCACACTTGAAAATTGATGATCTGAATTTTAATAATCTCTTCTCTAAACACCAAAGAGCTCTTTCAATTAAAAATAATAATAGTGACATTTCGCACCCTCTATAGTTTAACGTCAGTCTGCGCTGTTCTATATAGTAGACAACACAGTTGCTCAAAAACTCTACAATAGTAATAATGACCCAGTTAGTGTTCCCACTTCTGATGATGAACCAAATAAACCAATCACAGTCAGTGAACCAGATGCCACCTGTAAAGGAAAAGAGTTGCACACTCATCAATAAGTTATTCAAACTTGGCTTCATCAAAGACATATGGGAAAAGTAGCTTGTTCCAGTCTGTGAAACAGAGCAAAGTAATAAGCAATGCGAGAGGTCGAGGATTCGAGCCCCAGCCGGACCAACACTCAAGGTCTTAAAAATAATTGAGAAGAATATGCCACCTCTTTATAACATCAAGAAATGGTTAGATATTCTAGCCTTCTCGGATAGGGACGAATAAATGGAGGTCCCATCTCCTGCAGGGTTAGGGGTAGGAGACGTAAGCTTCCCACACACAAGATCACTGGGTGATGGATGTCCTCCTCTGGGGTGTGATGGGTGGGTTGGGATTGATTTAGGCAGGTGAACCTAGTAAGTGACTACATGTCCTATTGTTCTCTCGCCTGTACACTGTATGAATCTTTAAAATACAAATACAAATACCTGAGTTTTTCCCGCATCATGGACAAGGTAATGTGGAATGTGAGCCTTTTTAGCCAGCTCCTCTATATCAAACAGGTGGGCAGTATTTTCACCTTGTAAGACAATCTTTGTTGCCCTAAAGGTAGACCACAACAGGTTTTCATTTTTGAAATTTAACTTATGACACGCAAAAATGATTTAAATCATATGAAGTTATAACACATGTTCACTGCTAGAAGTGATTTTCTTAACAGCAATTTCTGGGAAGAACTCTTGAAACAAACAAAAAAAAAAACAACAACAACAAAAACCAAAGATGGGGTCATTCTCTTAATAAACAACAAACTTGAAAAGGCAACCATACTAAACGTGACTCTTGACACATCAACAACCTCTCTGTCTTGAATGGGACTACAAGACAATTTTAAAGTAGAATCTGCTATCAGAATCACTTGGAACAGTTTACCATGCCCTCTTTCAGCAAGTTTTAGTTCTACTTTCATTCTAAACCATTCTTCTCAATCTTAACCTTTTCACTACTGATGTGATTAACACTCATCTTCTCCCTGCCATTCCAAAGTGTCATGTAGCAAAAAAGTTAAGAGAACAGATAAGCTGATCGGCTTGTGGGGGTAATTTTGATGTAACAACAAAATTCTACTTTCTTACTTACAAAGAAATATTTTGTCACCTGCCAGGAAATTTGACAGATTACAATTGCCTTGAACAAAAATAAACACAACACTCATATGATAACTTATTTGATGTTTCCTGTCTCGTCATTTCCTGTATTACCATACCTATATTTACTCTCCTAAAAGACGGGATCATGGGTGATTTCAATCAATTTGGGTGTAAAGTCCAACCTTGATTATCAGGACATTGATTATCCAGACTTTTGAATTATTCGGACTTTTTCTCTGGTCCGATTTCTTTCATGTATATTAATGAGCTTTGATCTTCACAACTTAATGACATCATAAAAATTTCAGAGATTATGTTTAAAGTCAGGAAAAGTGCATTTTTAAAAAACAGCACATTACCTCGCCTGCTTTCAAAAGATTCTGAGACAAAAAGCATTCTGAATGTGTTTTGTTTATATTGTTTCGTTAATATCCATACCTTTGATTATCTGGACTCTCGATTATCTGGACTCTCGATTTTCAGGACTATTTACCCAAGTCGCGATGAGTTCAGATAATCGAGGTTGGACTGTATTGTCTACGACTGAACAACTTGTTTAAAACTTAAGAATGAGTAAAAGTCTACTAACCCAAAATTATCCCACTGTGATAACATGTGGTCGTATTTTTGAGGCTGGGACGCCATTATCTTGTAGAGACCAATAGTTGCATGGCCAACTTGAGCTGCAGTCTTACCAACGCCCATGTTGAGTTCCATGTTCACCACAAACACCATTTTGTAAGGACTCTTCAGTGTTTTTTCATCCAAGGGAAATGCTTTTTCAAAAGGGAGAGCTTCAAGGGTTGGTGTAAAGTCTTCTACCTGTAGAATGAGATAATCAGCACTCAATTTTATTTGACATATTTATAAAAATTAATTATTACATAAAATAAATGCTTCTCTTTTTAAATGATGCTACATTTAAGTCAGAAAAGACCATAACTGGCCAGGTCAGCCATCGTCTTGTAATCAGCAGTCTTCAAGTTAAAACCATTTTGGTCACCATGTTACCTGTGCTCGGGGTTAGCCCCTTTTCCATTTTTTTACTTAGGGTGGTGGCCATTCACTGGACATCAAAAGAAAAGAAAAAGAGAGGCTGACTGAAAACAACTTGGCAGCAAACGGTCAAGGAGGAGATAAGGCCATACACCAGACATGAGGGATAATCAAGAAGTTGGCCCAGGATAAAGAAGAACAATAATAATAATAATGTTTATTTCTTATATTGCGCAGTCTAACATGCAATAAAAGATATGATCGAATGCGCATTACAACATTAAAAATCTTACAGCAATGGGGCTAATCCTAATAATGATAGTAATAATAATAATTTACAATTTTTCAGAAAAACAATAAAGGCAAAATATGAATTAATAAAAGAACTAGTAGAAAACTAAATTAAAAAGATGTGTCTTTAGTAAAACTTTAAAAGCATCCAACAATTGACACTGTCTAAATTCCAGAGGTAGTCGGTTCCATACTTTGGGTGCAGCATGTTCGAACGCCCTATCCCTGAGTAGTATCTTTTTTGTTCTGTAAGTGTCATCAATTACGAGTATGCCCTGGTGTGATCTCAACTGATACCGCTAACTCACTTTGATTTTTATCAAGTCTGAGAGATATTGTGGTGCAACGCCGTAGATGCACTTGTAAACTAACATTGCTATCCTGAATTCTATTCTGTGGTTGACGGGAAGCCAGTGCAGGTTGATCAGGGAGTAATGGAGAGAATTTGTCACTGACTACACTATGCATCAAAAGGCACAATGGGAAGTTAATGAGTAAGTGGCTGAGGTGGGGAGGAAGGGACTTCTTGGGCTAATTTACAGCTTTAGTTCCCAATTTGGTAGCCTGCAATTCGTTATGGCAAGTTAACCATTTTACATGAAATATTTGAGAAGGAGACTTCTGAATATACATATACAACCGTATAAAGATAATAACGACAAGTAAATGTGGTGACTTTTAAAACCAGAGCATCCAACATCTGTGACACTGAAAGTCTGTGTAAATCACTTATTTTAAGTATTAGTCAGTGAGTAACTATATTATTCCCCCATACAGTAATAACAGTGTGTCATATGATTGTACATTTAAGTATAGCACATGTTAACAGACAATAAAAAATGCACCTTAAATGGCTGATCTATATCTGGTAAATCTTGATTGTCCAGGACCCAGCTGGCTGCAGCATCAACAGAACAATTATCAGTCATGAACAGACCCTACAATAAATAAGTTATTGACCAGTAAGTCACAGATAATGTGGGTCAGTAAGTAAGGATACTTAAAAAATACTAAAGATTATTCTGCTTATTTTTATCACCAGCTTTGAATTTCCAACTAGGAATGTTATTATTCCCTCATCAAAATATCACAACCAGACAACAATAACAGAGAATTTTCTTTCTAACAATTAATAAGACACGTTCATTAAATTCGAGATAAACTTGAAAAAGGTAAGTTTGGCTAATGTTTCTCTCATTTACCCTATCACAATTCCTATTCAGCCATTGAGCAATTAGTATCTAATTTCTCATTACATCGTCTCCAAAATGATCATCAAACAACTCTGTGTGTTTGTGATTCAGGGATGATATCGTAAGGAGAAATTAGATGCTGGTCACCTTTCAGTGTCAAAGGATTTATGATAAATTTGCAACTCCTTAATTACATTTGATGATTATTTTGGTCATTTAACGACACTAACAAAACCTGCATAACCTTTAAAACAAGACCAGAGCCTCTGATAATTAATAAACAGGAAGCGAATTATTGGTTTTAATGAAGATATCCATCCGTCGAATAGAACTCATGAAAAATAAATTAATGGACTAACACGATGACAATACAAATGAAAGTTCATAACTAAATATTTTCTCATTTATTTGTTTTGTTACAGGGTGTTCCTTGCTGGGCCGTTATGACATTTCGGATAAGTGTACTTTAGACTTGAATGGAAAAAAAAAAAAAAACTAACAAATAAAAAATGAGTTTTCACGAGTTAGAATAACTGATTAACACTGATTGTAATTGGACTGGAAAAATAACAATCTGCCCAAAGAATGCGCTGAAAATGAAAGTTGGAGTCTCGCAGAAGGCCGACGCTTTCAACCGTAGAAGGTGCGTAAATTTGCAAAAGGGACACTCCTCAGTTGACACGTGCACAGTTGTCACGGGAAAGTCGTCTCACCTTCTCTGCTGCATTTCGCGAGATCCCCAAACTTATCAAAGCCTTGAGAAAGTCTTCGTTTGGTCCAGCGTATTTAGATTTTCTTCTGACACGAGGTTGAGCATGTTCTACAGCTTCCGACGTGCCTCTCACAATTTGAGAAAGATCTTTCTTCGGGTTCGACGAGTTGTCTGCCATCTTGAGTCACGCGCGTGAGGAGACACAAGGTTGTCAGCTAAATAAACCTTATAATTCTTCATTACCGCTGACCAGAAATGCACCGCGGAAGTGAGGGTGTCGAGTGGGTGGGAACGAAGGGTTCGATAACGACCAAACAAATAAATCAACAAGTAAACGAAGTAAAAAGCGGAGAAGAGTAGGAGGCAATATAACTGTGAGGGATCTAATGATAATAATAATCTATCAATGGTAGCATATCGACCACAATAAGCCTTCGTCAAAGTTATATCTGCAAAAAGTTGACGGTACTAGTCCTGTAAACCGCGCACTGTCACCTTTCAATGCTTGTAAGGGTCTAGGGATTGGGAAGGGGAAGCATGTTGTTTTTGTCGAGAGGCCTGGGTTCGACTCTGAGGTTGCTAGAAAGAAAATTAAGAAACCGTCAGCACAAGACATTCGTTAATCCCCCTGCCAGAAGGGTACAGATAATTTATTCAGTTATGTTGAGTTCAAAGCACTAGTGGCTAGTAAAAGCTGTTTAAGAATGCTTAGTTGACAAACTGTCCAGTGCCACTGCCAAGTTTAGTTACATCCGCGCGCGGAGGCAACCCTTGCGTGGAGGTTTCTCGTGCGCTCGCGTGCTACCAACGCGACTAGCCTTAGGAAAGACTATAACTTGGGTTATGGTCTAAACGACCACTAAACTTTCTCCACAATAATTAACGGCTTAGATTTAATTCATTCGTCGATCCCAGCTTCATATAGTGCTTAATAGCGAAGCAATTGAATTTTCTCGTTCATATAAATAAATAGATTAACCCTCTCATTGTAAAAATCATTGTTATGATTCTGTTCTTCGGACCAGCGAGAAAAATAAATTAGATTAATTACAATTAGTATTATTTTTTTTTATGTTTGTGTTTGACGGTGAGTGATCTGACAGGCAGCCACTAAATAGCCAAGAAAATAGTGCTGAAACCCGCAACCACAAAAATAAGTCAAGCCAAGTTGCTGGGAATAATTTTAAGTGCGGCGTGTGTGCATGTAAAATGTGAAATACAGTATATAACAAAGAAATCGCTAAAAATCCATCACATAGAAGATATCTACGTGCTAAAAAGGATAAGAGAGGCCCGTTTTACTTTTCCACAGAAGTACTCCTGTCGGTGAAGGTTATACTGAATATCAAATCTTTCTTGATTTTTCTTCCAACAGATAAAAAAGCTCGACAAAAATGACCAAAAAACTAACAATAAAAGGTGACTAAATTGTGCATTTATCTTGTAAGTTCCAGTCCTCTGTTACTTTTGCCAGCAACGTCACACACATCTTTGTCATGACTTGTCTCTCTGATATATCTTTCTCACGAAGTTTTGAATTGGACTTCCAAGAGATGCGAGTCTGTCTTTAATTATTGTGAACTGTCCTGAGACGCTATCCATAACGATACGCACATTATCGCTCTCTTGATATCTCCATAACAACGCCACGGATAAAACAACGACACTTGTTATTGCAATACGAACCCTGAAAAACGAAGCAACAGTTTTTACTTTTTACAGAACAAGCTTAGAGCACTAGAGTAAACAAGTCCTCACCTCTGCAAATCCCATTGCCACTCTCCGCTCTACTGTTCAATTATTCTCCAATTACAGTAAAAAGAGTATAAAGGGGAGACTAAAGACAATTGACAGGCAATGAGAGGGGATCGGGTATATTTTTTTGTGGCATAACCAAAATCGTGCGACTCACAGAAGAAACCGTTTAAACAAGCACCACCTTTCACTCGGTCGAACAAAAGGCGAAATGCTAACGAACTTCCACAAAACCCTCCTGAGAAGAAAGGAAATGGGGTCCGCTACAAAGAGGTGACTGTTTTGGGAAGGTGGGGATATTTGTATTTGACACCATTCGTTTTGAACATTATAGGGTTAAAAAAAAAAAAAAAAGCAAACAAACAAACAAAACACTCGTCTTAGAGCACAAAAACTCTTCTCAAAGCATAAATACATGAATAAAGGCTGATAGTTTCGAAAGAAACTGTTTGGGGCTGCGTCGGTGGGAGTAACGAAATAATTTGGATATATCAACAGAGTTAAAATGGTAAATTGGCCACCGTAATGATTATGATAGTTTCGAAAGAAACTGTTTGGGGCTGCGTCGGTGGCCAATTTACCATTTCAACTTTGTTGATATATCCATAAATACATGAGCTGTCAAAAAGTATCAATAACAAAGAAACCAGACATTTCTCTTCCTGTAAGAAAACCATTTCTACACGACTAAGAGTAAGGTAAAGCAGAAAAGGTTCTCTAGAGGACACAGCGAAGGGCGAAAGGGGACGTTTCCTAACATAACAGAGAACGGCTGCGAACAACATTGAATACATAATAAATTCATTGATCAAAAGCTACCATCTTACCTTGTTCTTGTGAAGGGAATAACTATTCTGGCTAACGTCGTGCATATAATAAGTATTATTTGTACAATGGCGAGCACCACTGTGAGAAATTTCGATAAAAGCGCTTTAGCCTGAGCACTCTGATCAAAGTAATCATCCAGCCCCATCATCTGTTGGCTCTGCTGTTGAAAGGCTTCTATTTTTAAAACCTGCGAAAAAAAAAATTAATAAAAAAAACAACAACAACAAGGTTAGGTCAGCTTACAAGCTAGAAGACCCACTGCATCCTACCATGGTTAATCTGGGTTTCGTCAC